CTTCTCCCTCCAAGAAGCTCACATCACTCGTTCCATTCTAGCATTCTCATTGAACTGCTTTTTTTGGGGAGGAGTTAAGAGTTTCTCTTTATTCTCATTTTCCACTGTAGCTTTGTAATCCTTTTTAAAGCACCCTGCTAAAGGGTATAATGATAAATAATGTGAAGATCTACCTTTTAATTGCTTAGTTCTTGCAAGGAGATTGGTAAATAGATTTAAAAACAATTTGATAGATGCCATGATTAAGGTATTGTTCAATTATCAAAATGAAGTAGAAAAGAGCCACCAGACAGAGTTAAAGAATATAGAAGGTAGGGCAAAAGTATGTTTGTAGTTGTGAGTTTGTTCTTGTATTATTATTTATTAATTATTTAATATAATAAAAACAATAATATTAATTATTTGCCATATGAACAACTGTTAACTTACTTTTGCCCCACTCACTCTGTACACTTTCTTTAATGGCAGACATTAACCTGCTTTGAGGCATTTATACAAAATAAGAGACAGCAAAGCGTACTCCAATTGAAAGTGAAGTTTTCCTTTTCTTTCTTTTTTTGTTTTGCTAATCCTTACCTGAGGATATTTTTCCATTGATTTTTAGGGAAATTGGGAGAGAGAGGGAAGGACTGAGAGAAACATTGATGTGAGAGAAACACATTGATTGGTTGCCTCCTGCTGAGCATGTAAACAAGGTACATGCTGGCCTTGTCCAGAATCAAACCTAGGACCTTTCGGTCCGCAGGCTGATGCTCTATCCACTGAGCCAAACCAGCCAGGATGAAAGTGAAGTTTTTCTTATTCCTCCCAGATTCCTCAAGAAGGTTGCAAAGGTGCCCCTAAAGAGTGAGAGTATACCAGGCCTGAGAAGCCAAATTCTTGATATTTAACTGTACCTTTTTCTTTTCCATCAAATTTTATAGTTGAGGGTTGCATTGCTATTATTTAAGAAAAACTGACTATGCAATTTATGTGCTTCTTTTAAAGAGAATGTTTACAAACCAGGCTTTCCTGCTGTTGAAATCAAATTCTGTCAGCAAGGCCAGATTCTTCTTATGCTACGGTGAAAAGCAGTCTGGCTAGTCTGCTGCCTGTCTGAACTAGCCTCCTAGGAACTCCATTTCTTTGAACGTATATGGATAAACACAGAGTGCTTGGAAAGCCCAACAGAGTGTCTTACCTAAGTGAAATAGAGTAGAAATAATCAGGCAGGGCTTTATGGAGGCCGTGATATACTGATTGAAGGGTATTTGCCCCATCTGTACCTTATATTTAATTTGCTAGCTTTCCTCATTAAGCCAGAGTAATAATAACTAAAGAGTCCTAAGCTAAATCATTTGTATCTCTAAAATAAAAGGATTTTTTTTCTTGCACATTTAATACTATTTTCACACATTAAAAATAAACAAACCAATAATTCTTAATTATGTAATACATTGCTTGACTGTGTTCAAATATCTCAATAACCCCAGAAATGGTTTGTTTGTTTTTTAAAAAATATATATTTTATTGATTTTTTACAGAGAGGAAGAGAGAGGGATAGAGAGTTAGAAACATCGATGAGAGAGAAACATCGATCAGCTGCCTCCTGCACACCCCCTACTGGGGATGTGCCCGCAACCAAGGTACATGCCCTTGACTGGAATCGAACCCGAGACCTTTCAGTCCGCAGACCGACGACGCTCTATCCACTGAGCCAAATCGGTTTCGGCCAGAAATGGTTTTTATAACTGTTTTCTTCACACCAGTGTCCAAGAGCCATTTGTTCCCTCCTTCCCCCCTCCCTCTCTTCCTCCCTCACTTTGATAGTCACAGCACTGGGACATCATAAGCTGTTTTTGTCCTTTTTCTTTTGGAGATTTCTAGTTAGCCCTTTTTTTGCATTGCCTTTGATATACTTTCTTACCTGGTACATTCTGTGGTATATTCTCTCCCCCTTCTCTTTTTCCCTGACTTCTATCTTAGATATAAACAGAGCCAGTTCCAAGAGGTCTTGTTTTTGTTTTTGTTTTTTTTTTACAGAGAGGAAGAGAGGAAGAGAGAGGGATAGAGAGTTAGAAACATCGATGAGAGAGAATCATCGATCAGCTGCCTCTTGCACACCCCCTACTGGGGATGTGCCTGCAACCAAGGTACATGCCCTTGACCGGAATCGAACCTGGGACCTTTCAGTCCCCAGGCCGACGCTCTACCACTGAGCCAAACCGGTCCCGGTGAGGTCTTGTTCTTTTATTTGACATGTTACATTGCAGCTATTTTAGACATTAAAGAAATGGCTCAACTAAATGCTTTTATTTTAGTCTAAACTCTTCTTATTCACTTTACTTAGGCTGACTGGAGATGAGAGAGACCCAGATCAGCTTATTATCCTTGGGTCATTCTGAAAGTCATGGTTGGATGGTGCATCTGAAAATGAGAGGAGGTTAGAGGAAAGATTAAATGCAACATTACTTTGCTGCAGAATGTGCATCCTTTGTTGGTTATTTCCAACATCCTATGGTGGAGAGAGTTGATAAGGAGACCAATAGGTCAAATATTGGATCATGTTCTTTTGGGAGGGGAAGAAGCTTTTCTCTTATAATTTAAGAGCATAAGTTATAGGGGATTTCTGACCTACTCTTCTTTCCATTTTGAAGTTGAAGTTAATAGCTTATTAGAAGTAAAAAGGACTTCCTTATTACCTTACTGTATGTGTTATCACTAAGTGTAGCAAAAATTGTCAGAAAAAGTAATCTATGATAAAGTGTTTTGACTGTTATCAAGAACTGTATTCATCACATTTCTTGTCTTGCATTCTCTGGGCCATAGTATGGTTAAGAGGTACTGTTTTTTATTTGGGAAAAATTCCTTGTTACTATTTAATGAAATCTTTTTATACTGAGATCTCATTGTAAATACATCCATTGTCTGGGTTGCAGATATTGCTGTTAAAGCTCAGTTTGGAACAGGTTCTTATTTTCAATTATTGTCAGTTTTCTTTTTTGGGAAAGTTGTGTCATACAGAAATAAGACAAGTATTTGTAAAATGGGGATTATTTTTTTGTATGTCTGCTATTAAAAGATTCTCTTTCACCAAAACCGGTCTGGCTCAGTGGATAGAGCGTCAGCCTGTGGACTGAAGGGTCCCAAGTTCGATTCCGGTCAAGGGCATGTACCTTGGTTGTGGCACATCCCCAGTGGGGCCTGCAGGGGAGGGCAGTTGGGGGTGACCAGGTTGGCAAGGGAGGGCAGTTAGTGGTGACTGGGCCAGCAGGAGAGGGCAGTTGGGGACCACTAGAACTGCAGGAGAGGACAGTTAGGGGCAACAAGGCTGGCAAGGGAGGGCAGTTAGGGGTGAGCAGGCTGGCAGGAGATAGTAGTTAAGGACAATCAAGCGGGCAGGGGAACAGTTAGGTGTCGATCAGGCTCGCAGGGGAGTGGTTAGGGGGTGGTCAGGCTGGCAGGCAGAAGCGATTAGGATCAACCAGGCAGGCAGGGAGGTGAGTGGTTGGGAGCCCGCAGTCCTGGATTGTGAAACGGATGTCTGACTGGGCCTACATGGACAGTCGGGCATCCCTCAAGGGGTCCCAGATCGGAGACAGTGCAGGCTGGGCTAAGGGACACCCCCCACCCCATGCACGAATTTTGTGCATTGGGTTTCTAGTATCTTATAAATTTATAGTCTTAATTTGCATATTACTCTTTTATTAGAAGGGACTAGAGGCCAGTGCATGAAATTCATGCATGGGGTTGGGGGAGTGTCCCTCAGCCCAACCTGCATCCTCTCCAATCTGGGACATCAGTCTCACAATTCAGGACTGTGGCTCTCAGCTGCTTGTCTGCCTGCTAGCCTGATCACCCCCTAACCACTCCCCTGCCAGCCTGATTGATGCCTAACTGCTCCCCTGCCAGCCTGTTTGCCCCTAACTGCCCTCCCCTGCAGGCCTGGTCACCATAACTGCCCTCTTTTACACGTCTGGTCACCCCCAAGTGCCCTCCCCTGCAGGCCTGGTCTCCCTCAACTGCCTTCCCTGAAGGCCCGGTTGCCCCAACTTCCCTTCTCTGCCAGCCCGATCACCCCTAACTGTTCTCCTCTGCAGGCTTGATCACTCCCAACTGCCCTCCCTCGCAGGCCTGGTCCCTCTCAGTTGCCTTCCCCTGCTGGCCTGATTGCCCACAACTGCCTTCCCTTGCAGGCCTGGTCCCTCCCAACTGCCCTCCCCTGTTGGCCATCTTGTAATGACCATCTTGTGTCCACATGGGGGCAGAATCTTTGACTACATGGGGGTAGTCATCTTGTGTGTTAGAGTAATGGTCAATTTGCATATTACTCTTTTATTAGATAGTATAGAGGCCTGGTGCATGAGTGGGAGTCAGCTTGTTTGCCCTAAAGGGTATCCCGGATCAGGGTAGGGGTTCCCTTGGCCCGTTGGGCAGCCTGGGCAAGGGGCCTGTGGTGGTTTGCAGGTTGGCCACACCCCCTAGTGACCCAAGTGGAGGCTCTGGTATCTGGGATTTATTTATCTTCTATAATTGAAACTTTGTAGCCTTGAGCGGAGGCCAAGGCAGGTCAGGGCTGCTGAAGCTTGGCTTCCTCCATTGCCGGGGGCATCTCAAGCCTCCTGCTCTCTCCAGCTTTGTGGCTGCTGCCATTTTTGTTGGGATTTATTTATCTTTTATAATTGGAACTTTGTAGCTTTGAGTGGAGGCCTGGGCCGGCCAAGGTGTGTGGAAAATTTGGCTTCCTCCATTGCCAGGAAAACCCAAGCCTCTTGCTTGCTCTGTGGCCGAAGCCATCTTGGTTGGGTTAATTTGCATACTCGCTCCTGATTAGCTGGTGGGCATGGCTTTGGGGTGCAGTAGAGTAATGGTTAATTTGTACATTACTCTTTTATTAGATAGAATTAACATGCTGAGATTTTGTTCTTCAAATGGATCTTTAATATACTTACCTTTCTCCCATTTTAAACCTAATTTTTGTTTTCTTTTTAAAAATAATATATTTGCTTTTTTTGTTGTAGAACTGTGGCTGCTGAAGTTAGGAAGCAGATCTCTGGGCAATATAGTGGTTCTCCTCAACTGCTTAAAAACCTCAACATTGTTGGCAATATATCCCATCATACCGCAGTAAGTAGCATATTTAAAATATGGATATGGTATGTTATTGGTATATTACTGACTAGGCCATGAAAAAATAGTGGAAAGATAGGATCCAGTAGATTGGATAACATCACTCGTTTCATAACCTTATTTATTGTTTTCTCTTTCCTGAAATTTGAGTTGGGGGAGAATATTAGGAGGTATTATAGAAGTGTTGATTTCCTAGTCAATTCTGAAACTACATTCAGGATTTAATCAATTCTGAAATTTTAACTTTGTTTTTATGACATTGACTTGAGGAAATTGGGTTAGTTGTCTTACAGTATATCTTGCCTTTTGGATTTTATGTTTGCTTCCTTGTAGACTTATTTCTCTATTCCGTGTATTTCCTGTAACTGATTAGATTCTGATGCAGCTTTTTTGAAATTTCTTCCTTATAGACTTGTTTTTCTACTTCCGTATTTCCTGTAACTGATTTGATTCTGGCTGAACTTTTTTTAAACAGCTTTATTGAAATTTAATTTATTTATCATACAGTTCATCCATTTAACGTAAAATTCAATGGATTTAACATATTCAAAGATATGTGCAACCATTGCTACAGTCCGGTTATAATATTTTCATCACCTTAAAAAAAATACTCTTTAGCTATAACCCTTTTACCCCCTTTCCTTCAGGCCCATACAACCACTAATTAAATGCCAGAAGGTTTTTTTGTTTTGTTTTGTTTTTAATATATTTTTATTGATTTCAGAGAGGAAGGATGAGGAAGAGAGAGAGAGAAACATCAATGATGAGAGATAATCATTGACTGGCTACCTCCTGCATGTACCCCACTGGAGATCGAGCCTGCAATGCAGGCATGTGCTCTTGACTGGAGTCAAACCTGGAATCCTTCAGTCCGCAGGCAGATGTTCTATCCATTGAGCCAAACCAGCCAGGGCTAAATGCCAGAAGTTTTGATGGCATGCTGCAAAGAATTGAAAGAGATCTTTAACTATGTCAGCCAAAATAAAAATAAAATAAACATGTCAGCCAAAATTCCAATGCAATGATTGCTGAAGTTAGATAAGTTCTCACATTGCCTGTGAGACATTCTGTAGTGCTTTCCTATTCTCTTTGTCACCTTTAACCCTGCTTGCTGCCCTATCACTCACTCTCTCATATAAAGTCATGTTGCAATCTTCTTTTTTTTGTCAGTGAATACAGGATCTTTCTTTGGAGTCTTGTAAAATAATTTATAGTTGTAAGGAGCTCATCAATACATCCCAAGACTAACTCAGGCTGCTGTCTCCCCATGGGCATCAGAGGGAATGGAGACCATTGTAGCAAAAATAAATTTGTTTCCTTGATCTAGCTAACATTATACCTAGAAAGCCATTGACCTTCTCTATAAATTATAGAAACAAGATCAGTTATCCTCTATGTGATTTAATGTTTTTAAGAGAGTGTCATAGCTTCCTATGACACCCTAATACTTTTTACTCTTTTTTAAAAATTGGTTTCAGAGAGGTAGGGAGAGGGAGAGAAAGAGAAACATCAATGATGAGAGAGAATCATTGATTGGCTGCCTCCTGCACATCTCCTACTGGGGATTGAATTTGCAACCTAGGTGTGTACCCTCGGCCAGAATTGAACCTGGGACCCTTCAGTCCGCAGGCCAACACTCTTCACTGAGCCAAACTGGCTAGGGCCTAACACTCTTGATATGGTTGGTATTTTGAGGAAAAATTAATTTTGAATTAGACATGTGTAAGGTTCCCCAACTTTTGTCATTATTTTCATTGAATATTCATTTGTGATACTTTAAATCTTAAAAATTATACTGCCCCCAAAATAATATCTGGATGGAGAAGCATTGACTTCAGTTTTTTAAAAATGTTCATTAAATTTTTTTATATATCTCTCTATCTGGTGTTAAAATATATATAACAAAATTTACCAATTCATTTCTAAATGTATAATTCAGTGGTATTAAGTATATCATAGTGTTGCCAAGACCGGTTTGGCTCAATGGATAGAGCGTTGGCTTGGGGACTGAAGGGTCCCAGGTTCGATTCCGGTCAAGGGCATGTACCTTGGTTGCGGGCATATCCCCAGTAGGGGGTGTGCAAGAGGCAGCTGATCGATGACTCTCTCTCATCGATGTTTCTAACTCTCCATCTCTCTCCCTTCCTCTCTGTACAAAATCAATAAAATCTATTTAAAAAAAAAAAAAAGTATATCATAGTGTTGTGCAACTATTACCACTAGCTATTTCCAGAAATTTTTTATCCCAAAATGAAACTGTATACCCATTAAACAATAATTCCCTATTCTCTCTCTCAATCCTTGGCAACTTCTATTTTCTGTCACTGAATCTGTCTATTCCATGTACCTCATATAAGTGGAATTGTACAATGTTTGTCTTTTGTATCTGGCTTATTTTACTCATCTTAATGTCTTCAAAGCTCATCCATGTTGAATCAACCTATATAATAAAAGTGTAATATGCTAAGTATCTGACCAATCCGTCAATTGTTTGGTTGACCGCTTAACCAGTTGCTGTGGCGTGTACTGACCACCAGGGAGCAGATGCTCTGACCGGTAGGTTAGTTTGCTCCTGGGGTCTGGCTGATCAGGACTGATGGAGAAGGCCAGACACACCCTAGAACCCTTCTGCAGTCCCTCCCCAGCCAGCTGGCCAACCTCCTGTGGTCTCTCCCTGGCCCCAATCCCCAGTCAGGCTACGGGACCCCACCCATGCACGAAGTCGTTCACCGGGCCTCTAGTGTGTTTTAATTTCAAAGGCTGAATAATATTTAATTTTGTTGTAAACCACATTTTGTCCATTCATCTGTTGATAGACATTGAGTTGTTTATATCTTTTGGCTATGGGTAATGCTGCTGTGAACATGAGTGTGCAAAATCAGTTTGAGTCTTTATTTGTTTTTGTTTTTTTGGTATTTACCTAGAAGTGATATTGGAACATCATATGGTAATTCTGTGTTTTTGTATTTTTTTTCATAACACCAATGTTTCACATCTGGACGTTTGTTATATAATCCTTCATTGTTTTGCCTAAATATTTTTTCTTCAGAAAATAAGTTGGGTGTCTTAATAAAAAGTATATTTTCAGCTTTGCTAAGGAATGCTCTGAACATTCTGTTATTACTTTCAATATGGTCTGTGAATTAGTTTCCTTTGGCTGCTGTGATAACTTACCACAAACTGGGTGGCTTAAAAACAAAAGAAATTTATTTTTTCATACTACTTCTGTCCAAAAGTTTGAAATCAGCATCAATGGACTGAAATCAAGGTTTTGGCAAGGCCTCACTCTCTTTGGAGGATATATTGTAGAAGAGAATTAGTTCCTTGCCTCTTCCAGATTCTGATTGTTACTTGTAACTGCATCACTTCTATCTTTAAGGCCAGAATCTTCAGATCTGTCTTTGTTATGTCTTCATATGGTTTTCTCCTCTGTGTGGCCCAACTCTTCCTGTCTTTATATAAGGATGTATATGATTGCATTTGTGATTCACTCAGATAGTTCAAGATAATGTCCACATTATATTATATTATAGATCATACCTTTTATTTTTTTATCTTAATTTTTTGTCATGAAAGGTCAATGGATTGGTATAGGGAGATCTTTTGGAGGACCATTTTTCAGCTTACCACAGTTTGGTTATATGTTTTTACTAGGATAATCAACAATGGCAACAAGTAAAGTAAAAGTACTATTTAGAAACTTAGCAATGAAAATTCCAAAGATATAAAAAAGAAAAAAAAAATTCCTCTATGACCATTTTGTCACTGTAAATTATTATAAAACTGTTAATGATCATTGCTGGCTTTACATGAGAGACATGGATAAAGTCTAAGCAAGAGGATTAAAGAGATTATAACCCTAAATCTCATAGTTTCTTTAGTGCATCTGTTGAAAATTTAGAAGTAACTAGGTTAAAACATATTGTCTTTAAAAGAATAAAATTTTTTTGCTTAAAGTTTTAAAATTCTTAACATTTGCCTTTTCCTTTCCATTCACTTTTATCTCCTACATCTCCTCCTTCTCCCCCCTTTTTATAAAGGTGCCCCTTACGGAAGCAGTGGATCCAGTGGATTTAGAAGAGTACCTTGCTACTCATCCTTTAGGTGTGGATTCTGGGCCTTTAAGGGAATTGGTTGAATTCCCTCCAGATGATATCGAAGTTGTTCATAGTCCTAGGGACTGCAGAACCCTTGTTTCAGCTGTACCTGAAGAAAGGTAAGGAGACATTAACCTGTTTTTGGTTTTAGTAACTACAGAAAGGCTACGATCTATTATTTGATTTATATCCTATTTCTTACGGTAGGGCTATTTTCTGTTATACAAACAGAGAGTTATAGCAACCAAATTCACCAACATTGCTGCTTTTCTATCTAAATTACAAATGTTTTTCTTTTAAAATAGTGAAATGGATCCACATGTTAGAGATTGTATAAGAAGTTATACAGAAGACTGGGCAATTGTGATCAGAAAGTAAGTTATATGTTTATTATAGCATTTAAAAATACTAAGTAGGATCTATAAATAGATTAAGGTAAATTAGTAATAATTATGAAACTTAAAGATTACTTTAAACAAGTAGCTGAAGAAGCAAAAGATATCTTCAGACATATGTCTTCTCTCTAGGAGTTCCACAATTACTCTTACTTACTTTTCTTACAAAATAATAGGTTTGTGGAGATAATATTTTCATGTTATCATAGATCACTAATAACTGATAGTATATAATTAAAATGATTTATAGTCTAATTCTTTTGGAAAATCATGGGTAGTTATTGATGAATGATTTTAGTTTTTAAAAAGAATTCAATTTATTGAAATTTAAGTAGTTAAATTTAAAAAATATATTTTATTGATTTTTTTTTTTTTTTTTTTTTTTTTTTTTTTTTTTTTACAGAGAGGAAGGGAGAGGGATAGAGAGTTAGAAACATCAATGAGAGAGAAACATTGATCAGCTGCCTCCTGTACACTCCCTACTTGGTATGTGCCTGCAACCAAGGTATATGCTCTTGACTGGAATCGAACCAGGGACCACTGAGTCCGCAGGCCGACACTCTATCCAGTGAGCCAAAGTGGTTAGGGCAAATAAAACTTTTATTTTGCTACTTTGCATAATGAAGATAAGAGTCTTTGTATGAGACTTAATTTTTAAGCCTTATTTTTTTTTTTAAAAAGGAAATATGACTGAAATAGTGGAGAATTCTTTTATGACTTCTATTCTGTAGTTTTCAGAAATGAAGTACTGTGTGCTCAGTTGTTCTAGCAACAATAATGTATTCGTTACTTATTGTTTTGCCCTTATGGCTTGTCTTATTTTACTGGATTTAACATTGTGCTAAGCCTCACTCTTGGGGATACTGCTCACATGCTTTTTAGTTTTAGTGTGACCTAATAAAAGCACAGACTGCTACTCTTTCTAAAGAAGAGCTGTTTTTATTAACTTACACTTTTGATAAGTATTTCAATAGTCAGCTTTTAGAATTTAGTGAAGAGAATGTCCCTCTGTCAGATAATTCAAAAGTTTTTACTTTTATACATGTATGTTGGAAACTTAAAACCAGAAATCTCAATAAATAGCTTAGTTGTAGGAGATTTAAAATAGTTTAGGAGATTTAGTTTTGTTTGTTTTTAAAATATATTTTTATAGAATTATGGAATTTACTATTTAATTTTAATCATGGTGTTGCTGACCTTGATTTAGGCAACAGAGTCAGATAGTTAATGTTTATGGGTATTTACTATGTGCTGTCATTTTATTGAGCACTTTATACTCATCTCATTTAAAGTTTCAATAGAAAAGTAGCTTAGGCTCGGAGTAGTTAAGTAAATTCTTTGATCTCCCATAGCCAAATTGTGGTTTACTTCTGGAAATTCTTAACCTGCTCTCTAGTTGGATTAAAAGAACTTGGAAGGGAAGTTTTCTTAAACCTCTGGTTAATTGTTTAGCACACTCAAAACTGCTAGTGTATATATTTATTATGTAAATAAATATTCAGAGAATATTTGGCTTATTATTTGATGATGAAAAAGTGGAAATTTTTTGAAAATTGGTATTTACATAACTGTTTTATTTTGAATAGATATCATAAACTGGGAACAGGATTTAATCCCAATACATTAGATAAACAGAAAGAAAGGCAAAAAGGTTTGCCAAAACAGGTGTTTGAATCTGATGAAGCTCCAGATGGCAGCAACTACCAGGATGAGCAAGTAATACTTTTATTTTGAAATTACTATTAAATGATATTTTTAAATGGCTTGTTTTATTCATTAATTAATATATTTTTAATATTTTACATGTCAGGATGATCTTAAAAGACGTTCAATGTCAATAGATGATACTCCAAGAGGTAGCTGGGCCTGTAGTATTTTTGACTTGAAAAATTCACTTCCCGATGCTCTGCTTCCCAACTTACTTGATCGAACTCCAAATGAAGAAATAGACCGTCAGAATGATGACCAAAGGAAATCAAACCGTCACAAGGAACTCTTTGGTTTGCATCCATCACCAGATGAGGTATAGTTATTTGGGAATAAAGAAGCAAGTAATTATGAAATAGACATTTTGGGAGTATGAGTTATATATAGTATAGTGTTATAATAATGTAGGGGATAAATCTCACCTGAATCATAGCTATAATTTTTATAAATGAAACATACTTTTTATTCTAGTGAATTTATTCCTAATGAGTAGCTTCTGTGAATTTAACTCACTTATGATCTAGTGACTTCTGTTCTATAATAAATAGGTCATTCTATTTTGTGTTCAATTATGAAGACTAAAAGTACTAAATTAATAAAATAAGTTTTTAAAGAAATTGTGAAGGGTTGAAATATTTTAAGCATGTTCATTTTGGTGTTGCTTGTCAATTTGTAGGAAGAACCAATAGAACGACTTAGTGTTCCTGATGTGCCCAAAGAACATTTTGGTCAAAGACTTCTTGTAAAATGTTTATCACTCAAGTGAGTATTCATTTCGTTTACTGCATACTTTGGTTTACTGTATTCTTTTGAGAAGTATTTTCTTGGCGTGGGGAATATAAAGATAACGTATCTTTTTCCTTAAAGAATTGATTGTGCCTTTGTCACATGGTAGGCTTTGTTTTTTTGAAGAACATATTTTTTCCCTTCTGTAAAAAAGTTAAATATTCACATTTATATTATACTTCACAAAATGCTTTCTCTTATTTTGTTTCATGCTGTCTTCAGAGTAATTCTGTAAGGTAGATATTATTTTCTTTATTTTACAAATGAGGAAACCAGTGTTCAAAAGCATTAGCAGAGATTAACTAGCATACTCATTATGCAACCTATGCTCTTTATACTCTATCATGTTAATATTATCAGTTAGTTATTCTGACATGAAAAAAGAAGTTTCAATTTATAATTTTTTTGAAAGAAGCAATGTATAAGGACAGGCCACTTCTGTGTTTAGATAACATAGGCAATTTTCTTTCCTTGAAAGCTAAGGCTATATGTGTTTAATTAAACATGAAAGAATGCATATTGAAAATCCAATATGATACCATTTACGCACTGGAATGGGTAAGAAAAGCCAGACAATTCAAAAAGACTAGCATTGTCAAGTGTTACAAAGGATGCTTAGTAGAGGCTTAATCATGTACACGGTATAACCGAGACCCCTATTCTTTTGGCATCTGGTTGAGGTCTGCTAAGAGAGGCATCAGTAGGAAGTCAGAGGGTGGAAGAGAGTGAGATCAAGTTGGGGTACTTGTTTTAACTTATTCTTTGCTAGATAACGTTGATTAATTGTCACCCTGTGAAGGGTCCTCCATAGAGCTATTTTTTCTAATTTTGGTTACCACTTGCACATTTTCCTTTAGGTTAGGGCAGTGGTTGGCAAACTCATTAGTCAACAGAGCCAAATATCAACAGTACAACGATTGAAATTTCTTTTGAGAGTCAAATTTTTTAAACTTAAGCTTCTTCTAACGCCACATCTTTAAAATAGACTTGCCCAGGCCGTGGTATTTTATGGAAGAGCCTCACTCAAGGGGCCAAAGAGCCTCATGTGGCTTGTGAGCTGCAGTTTGCAGACCACGGGGTTAGGGTGATGATAATGAGTTGCTGATGTTGCTGTTCCAGGGAATAGCATTCTCTGTAATTGTTTCCCCTAAAGTTATGTCCAAATCTTTGTCAGTGGCTTTTTATTAAACTCTTAATCCAATGAAAATATGTTGTTTATCTCCTCTAAGGACTTTGGCTGATAATCATATAATAAAAAAATGAGCATTATTTGTCTGGGGCTCTCCTATCCTATATAATAAAACCCTAATATATAAATCGACCAAATGGCAGAATGACCAGTCACTATGACATGCACTGATCACCAGGGGGCTGGTGCTCAATGCAGGAGCTGCCCCCTGGTGGTCAGAGTGCTCCCAGAGTAGGTGGGCCTATGGCTGGTGAGTGAAGTGGCAGTGATGGGAGCCTCTCCCACCTCAGCGGCAGCACTCAGGACCCCTTGGGGGATGTCCGCCTGCCAGCCTAAGCAAGCAGGCAGACATTCCCCAAGGAGTCCCGAACTGCAAGAGGGCACAGGCTGGGCTGAGGGATGCCCCCCCACCCTCCAGTGCATGAATATCATGCACCTGGCCTCTAGTCTATATATAATAAAAACCTAAGCGACTGTTATAAGCAGACAACCAGAACGACTGGTGGTCAGTGCGCTCCCACAGGGAGAGTGCCACTCAGCCAGAAATTGTGCTCATGGCTGGTGAGCACATCAACTGTGGCGGGAGCCTCTCCTGCCTCTGCGGCAGCACTAAGAAGCAGCAGGCCAAGCGTAAGGAGTGAGCAGGTGGGCAGCAAGGAGCAAGGGATCCTGGATTGTGAAAGGGATGCCTGACTGCCGGCTTAGGCCTGATCCTTAGGGGTATTGGGCCTATGCCGGCAGTCAGACATCCCCCAGCGGGTCCTAGACTATGAGAGGGTGCAGGCCTGGCTGAGAGAACACCCCCCTTCACCCTCCGGAGCACGAATTTTGTGCACCGGGCTTCTAGTATAATATAAAATGGTTAGCCACCTCCCTGGCCGCTGCTCAATAAATGTCAGTAATAATCCTGGAATAATTATAATAATCAAAAATATCTCCAGACATTGCCAGATTTCTTCTTGGAGGCAAATTATCCTTGGTTGATAACCACTGTTCTACCGTTTTATTCTATTATACAATATTTTATTTCATTTAGCAAATATTGATTGAGTGTTTACTAAATGTAAGTCATTGTGGAAGTCAATTAGACATCTCAACTTACACATATCGTTATAAAATAAGTAATGAAAATTAGTATGCCAGCACTTAAAATGATAGAATAATATTTATGTCATGGGAATATATCCATAAAATATTAAGTTTAAAACAGACTATAAAATATGTATATAGTGACACTCTTTATTTAAAAACTAATCAATTTAATAAGTGCATTTATACATAGAGAAAAATCTGGGTGTATAGGCACTATGGTTCCATGTTATGAAATTTTGGATGCTCCCATTTTCTTCCAAATATTCTTTACATTGAATATGTGATTTACATACTGAAAATGAAAACATTAGGTCTTTACTTTTAAAATTTATTTAAAATTTTATATATCTACATACACAAATAACCAAATTATAGTTAAGAAAGTACTTAGTGTCAGAACGTGGACTTAAAATGCCATGAACTTTTATGCAGAGATTACTTATAGCTGGAAAAATTATGGAAGATAACCTAGAGTAGGTAATGGCTGATATAAATTGAAAGATATGCCTAGAAAAGTGTGTTTCAGGAAGAAGAGGCTAACATAGAGGGTGTAGCACAGATGTAGGAAAGTACAAGATATTGAGATTATTTTTGGAATGAGAATTTCTCTTCAATTATGTATTCTATATTTATTTTTAAAGTACTTCATTCTTTTTCTTCCTAAAGGTTTGAGATTGAAATTGAACCCATTTTTGCAAGTTTGGCTTTATATGATGTCAAGGAAAAGAAAAAGGTAAGGTTATATGATTTAAACATAATAGGTTTCAGAAACCTGATTTTAAGTTGTTTTATAAGATAAATAAGTAACAATTTTTTATGAATTATTAAAGATTGATATTTTACAAAGGAAAATGGAAATTGTAAGACTTGAGTATTTTCTTACTAAGGAATAATTTAGTTGATACCTAGATTTTATTTCATTGAAAGAATTCCAAAAGCCAGTAGCAACTTTTATTTTTTTATTTTATTTTATTTTTTTTAATCAATCTTTATTGTTCATATTATTACAAAGGTTCCTCATTTCTTCCCCCCTCCACCAGGTTCCCACCCCACCCTCCGCCTCCTCCCCATCCTCCATTGTCCTCATCCATAGGTGCACAGTTTATGTTCAGTCTCTTCCTCCCTCCCTTTCCCCGATAGTAAATCCCTTTTCAGATAGTAAATCAGTTACTTAGCATTTTCTCATATCAATAATACCTCCACATGCCCAATGACACATTTCACACAAAAGACATTTCCAAATAGGTCAACCAGCCTCATCCAGGCCCCACCCAAGGCACTCACAGATCAACACCCCAGTGCTATACTAACTCAACACATCCAGATCTAAGCCTTCATCACTTGATTCAGCAGACCCTCAAGTTCCCGCAAAAGTTTCCAGCCATGTCTGAGAGGCGGCCGTGGGGCAGGGGCAGGCGAGGAGCGAGCTGTTCCCGGCCTGGCTGCTCCGGGACTAGCCTTTGTTGGCCAGTAGCAACTTTTAATTGTTGGTTTTATCATCATCATTTACAGAAGGCTATCTTATCACAGCATTTCTTATTGAATATTTTAAGCGTAAAGATAGTAAAAACTTGAAGTGCCTTCAGTGACTTCTGCTGTCAAAATATGGTTGGGGCAGTGGAACTTTGCTTGAGCAACTTGTATTTGCTAAGTCAAAACTGCTGATATATTTACACTAATAAGAGAAAGATGCATATTGGTCGTACCTTTGCAATGCCCACCAGCCAATCAGGAGTGAGCATGCAAATTAACCCACCATCTTTGTATTATGCAGGCACTGAGCTGTCTGGGGTGGGGTAGGGCGCTTGCATCGTCATCATGCCGATGACACAGGCATTCCGTACTGCCCCAGCCACTCAGGGACTCTGGGCAGCGTGGGAAGGCAGGGCTGGAGCAGAAAGGCAGCTCTGGGGCCAGAGTGCAAAGATGGTGCTGGCAGCCAAGGAAAGGAAGGCCCATTCCTGCACGAACCTTCGTGCATCGGGCTTCTAGTTATTCATATAATTTTTAAAGACATTTTGGGATAATTCGTCTCAATAATAACTTCTTTGTATATTTTATTAGAGGTTGCATTTCTAATCAGAAGAGTTTGGGATATGCTTCTTTAGACTATGTTTATTGTGTTATATTTCCCAAATAGTTTGTACATTTTTTTGGATTTAGATATGTAAAGAATTGTCAGTGACATATATGATAAGCTATATGTTATAGTATAAATATTTAAATATCTATAATAGTTTAAGATTAGGTATATATGATTTTTTGTGTGAGTTTCTATAAAATGTAAATTTAAAAATTTGATATATGATTTTATTTTTTAGATTTCAGAAAACTTTTATTTTGACCTTAATTCTGAGCAGATGAAAGGATTGCTACGCCCACATGTACCACCTGCTGCCATTACCACCCTGGCAAGATCAGCTATTTTTTCTATCACTTATCCTTCCCAAGATGTTTTTCTTGTAATAAAGGTGAGAATAATATATATATAAAAGCCTAAGTGACTGAATGACCAGTCGCTATGACATGCACTGACCACCGGGGAGCAGACACTCAATGCAGGAGGTGTCCTCTGGTGGTCAGTTCACTTCCACAGCCAACCTCCCATAGCTGGCCAACCTCCTGCAGTCCCTCCCCCCGGCCAGCTGGCCCCAATCGGCCCCAATTGCCAGCCAGGCCAAGGAAGCCCACTGATGCACAAATTCGTGCACCGGGTCTCTAGTGTTAAATATATTTGTTTATTTGTATAGTGTCTGTATACTCATCTCTCTATCAGTAGTGCAGCTTTTTATGGGCACAGATTAGCCTTTACTTATTTTTTCTTCTTAGTATTCTTTAACATACACTAACGGTGCTACTAGTTTTTTTCTTCAGTTAGGGGCTGTATTAGTCAGGGTTCTCCATAGAAACAAACCTGTAGGATAGACACACACAAACACATACACACACACACACACACACATACACACAAACACAGAAAGGAAGGATTTGGCTGAGGGCTAGCAAGTCTGAAATCTGTATGGCAGGCAGGCTGGAAATTCAGGTAAGAGTTGTTGTCTTGAGTTTTAATCCCACAGAGCAGCATACTAGAAACTCAGGCAAGTAGTTTTGAGAATATCTTTTTTTAGAAACCTCAGTTTCTGTTCTATGTCCTTTAATGAATTGGATGAGGCTCACCCACATCATGAGGGTTAACGTGTTCTACTCAGTTTACTGACTTAAATGTTAATCACCTCTAAAAAATACCTACACAGCAACATCTAGTCTGATATTTGGTCAAACAACTGCTTTCAATTCTATTTGATATATACCCAGAAATAGATTTTCTGAATTGCATGGTAGTTCTATTTTTTATATTTGAGGAATCTTTGTACTCTTTTCCATAGTGGCTGCACCATTTTTTACATTTCACTAGTAGTTGCCAAGTGTGCCAGTTTTTCCATATCCTTAGCAGTATTTGTTGTATATTTATTTATTTTTGAGAGTAGCCGTTCTGATGAGTGTAAGATGATCTTATTATGGTTTTGATTTGCATTCCCCTAATGATTAATGGTTTGAACATCTTTTCATATGCTTGTTATCCATTTGTATAGCTTCCTTGGAGAAATGTCTACTCAAGTCCTTTGCGTATTTAATAATCAAATTATTATTGTTTTATTAAGTTATAGGATTTAAAAAATTCTGTTCTGGATATTAACTCCTTATCAGATATATGATTTCTCTCATTTCTTGTCTTTCCTGTTGATTGTGTCCTATGAAGCACAAAAGTTTTAAATTTTGATGTAGTCCAGTTTATTTATTTTTACTTTAATTGTCTGTGCTATTTTTGTCTCAAATCCAAGAAAACATTGTCAGATCCTTTATTTTTTTTTTCTAAGAGTTTTATAATGTTAGGTCTATGTTTAGTCTTTGATCTATTTTAAGGGAATTTTTGTATATGATATAAGGTAAAGGTATAATTTTATTTTTTGCAATTGGACATTCAGGTTTTCTGTTTTTGTTTAACACCATTTGTTGAAAAGACTCTTCTTTTCTCATTGAATTATCTTGGTACCCTTGTTGAAATTTATTTAACTATATAAACATGGGTTTATTTCTGTACTCTATTCTACTACATTGATCTATATATATATATCCTTAAGCCAATACCACACTGTTTTGATTACTGTAGCTTTATATTAAGTTTTGAAATCAAGAAGTGTGAGGCTTCCAGCATTCAACTTTGTTCCTTTTTTTTAAAGCTTATTTTGACTTTTCAAGGTGCTCTGAGATTCCATATGAATTTGGGGATGTATTTTTCTATTTCTGAAAATAAAAATAACACACCATTATTGTGACTTTGATTAAATCTACAGATTGTTGTAGGTAGTATTGACAACTGCATTAAGCTTTCTAGTTCATGAATACAAGATCTTTTGCCATTTATTTGTTTCCTTTATTTCATTTTTTTTTTTTTTAACCACCGTTTTAGTTTTCAAAATACAAATCTTTCAGTTCTTGGTTAGTTCCTTAGTATTTTATTATTTTTGATATTATTGTAAATGGAATTATTTTCTTAATTTCTTTTTCAAATTGCTTCATTTTTTAGTGTATAGACATGCAACTTATTTTTGCATGTTTTGTATCTGACACTTTGCTAAATTCCTTAATTAGTTCTAAAGTATCGTTGTGTGTGTGTGTGTGTGTGTGTGTGAGAGAGAGAGAGAGAGAGAGACAGAGAGAGAAATATTAGGGTTTTCTGTATAAAAGATCATGTCTCTTCATAGAGGTAATTTTACTTTTTCCTTTATAATTTGATTGTGTTTTATTTCTCTTTCTTGCCTTATTGCTCTGACTCAGTCTTTCAATTACTACATTAAATAGAATTGGTAAAAGTGAGCATCCCTATCTTGTTGCTGACCTTAAATACTTAGTGTGATGTTATCTTGTGGGCTTTGCATATAAGGGTTTGATTATATTGAGGTCGCTCTCTTCAATTCCTAGTTTGTTGAGTGTTTCTTTTATGAAAGTATATTGAATTTTGTTCAGTGCTTTTTCTGTATTACTTGAGATGATTATGTAGTTTTATTATATTGATTAATTTTTATATGTTGAATCATCCTTGCATTCATGCTTATAGCTTTTTTTTTTTTTTTTAAGTTTAATCTTTAATTATTGTCTTTGACAGTTAGAAAAAGTCCTACAGCAAGGAGACATTGGAGAGTGTGCAGAACCATATATGATTTTCAAAGAAGCAGATGCCACCAAGGTATAGAATATCATTCCTCTCATTTCCCCCACTTTTGTATTTATTGCCATTTCACCCAAATCCCCAAACCCAGTCCTAAATTACCTCTAATCTCCTGAGTTTTTATTTGGGAAACTACTATATAAAGCATACTAATAAATTTAATTCATTTTTTTCTATTATCCTACTCAGTTTCTTTATTTGCTTTGTCACCTAGCTTGTGTCACATCCTGTGCTATTTTTTAAAAATATCCCTCACCGGCCGAAACCGGTTTGGCTCAGTGGTAGAGCGTCGGTCTGTGGACAGAAGGGTCCCAGGTTCGATTCCTGTCAGGGGCATGTACCTTGGTTGCGGGCACATCCCCTGGGGTGTGCAAGAGGCAGCTGGTCAGTGTTTCTCTCTCATCAACGTTTCTAGCTCTCTATCTCTCTCCCTTCCTCTCTGTAAAAAATCAATAAAAATATTTAAAAAATAAAAAATAAAAAAAAATCCCTCACCAAACATTAATTGATTATTAAAATTTTTCGTAGAAAACTAAGTGAATTTAGTTTAATTCCCAAATAATTACTTTTTTCTTATATATATACAGATGGAACTTTTCCTAGCAAAACAAAAATATTCTAGGCTTCTGTCTAGCTATAGATAATTAAGAATGTGTTAAAAAGAGAAAATGTAACCTCTATTTTGTCAAATAACAAATTTCTAGAATTTAGATAAACTTCTAAAGCAAAAATAATTGGTCCATAATAGGTCCCAAATTCCAGATACCCTGAGTTAGTGATAATAATAACAGGTTATCTGAGGTCTTTGACCACTTCAGTTAATACTGGAAATATCCAGGAGAGATATGCTTGAGAAATACTTGACAAACTAGAAAATGTTTTGCTTTCTATTTTTCTGAGATTCAGAACAAGAGCTGAGCCTCTTCTGTTATTATAGGTAGGTCTGAACACATGATAATCTCTGATCCCTGGCTATCTGGTTGAAAGCACGGTTAAAGTATTCCTAGGTTGTCATTTTACAAATTAAATTTGCTCTGTTGTATGGAGCTCAAAGATATTATAGCAGCTTATTCCACATTTCTTCTTACTTATTTACATAAGCTTATAGAATTAAGTACATTTTATATTAATAGTTAGGCTTTTAAAACAAGAACCTATTTTTAAAGTATACTAGATATAACAGTCAAAGTGATGCCATTTAGCTATCCTTCCATTTTTCCCAATTCTGAGTATTCAGATAGGGAACTGTCATTAGAATAAACCACACCAGGAGACATACTGTATAGAAAGAATAAGTGAGGAATTTGGTGTGGGTTTTCACTCTTGGATCATTGGTTGGATATTGCAGGTCGCCTTAGTGCTTGTTCAGGAATAGCCTAAAAGTTGAGTCAGCTTCAGGATGTCTCCCAAATAGGCATTACTGTTTGGATCATTAGTCTTTTCCCAGGATTTAGTACTCTCATAATACTGTTTTGTTTTTTCTTTATTTATTATTACTCTGGTCTTATTTATTGGCATATTTGTGTCCTACACTCCCACCTCATGGTTGCTCTAAGTTAGGAACTATTTTAAATTGGCTCAAGTGCTTCCATATTTTTTAGAATGTTTCAAATTAATGAGTCATAACCTAGAATATTTTTTAGTTTGCAGTTGTAAACATGGTAATGTTTCCTTTCATAAAATATTGTAGTACTTACAATCTCTATACTAATAAAAAGGTAATATGCTAATTAGACCAGGAGACCTCTGGATGTCCTTTTGGACAAAACCATGGTGGTGGGGCTGAGGCAGAGATGGTTAGGAACAATCGCCCCAGGAGGGGAGGGCAGTTGGAGATGATCAGGCCGGCAAGGTGGGGCAGTTGGGGACAGGAAGGCCATGGGGGTGGGGTGGGTGGGGAGGTTGGGAGTGAGCAGGCTGGTGGGGGAAGGCAGTTGGGGGTGAGCAGGCCGGTAGGCAGTGTTATGGGTGATCAGGCAGTCAGGCAGGTGACTGGTTAGGAGCCAGCGGTCCCTGATTGTGAGAGGATGTCTCAGATTAGAGAGGGTGCAGGCCGAGCTGAGGGACACCCCTGTGCACGAATTTCATGCACTGGGCCACTAGTCTCTATCATAAAAACCCCCCGTGGTCATGACGTTGTCACGGTGGCATGACTAAAGACTGGTCACCAGGAGGCTGAGTGTATGGGCGCTGGTGGGGACTTGACACTAACGCAGGTGGGTGGGGCTGTGAGCACAGTGGAGTGGCGGACAGGTGGGCAGAGCTGTGAGATTTCATGTACTGAGCTTCTAGAACATAAACATGTTTGACCCTTGCTTTTTTTTCTTTTCTCCAGAGATAATTTCAAACTAATGTCAAAGACTTATTCTATACATACATTTGTAGAACAGGTTAAGATTGTTCAATGGTTAAGATAGCACACTGTTAATTGATTTCTGAAAGCTACAGATGGTTTTTACATCTTTGTTGAAAATTGAGAATTCTCAAACTGTGTCTTTATTTAATATGAAATAGCCTTTAATTCATTTCTTTGAGCATAATCATATAATGTATAAAGTTTTGTTTTGCAGAATAAGGAAAAATTGGAGAAGCTGAAAAGTCAAGCTGATCAGTTTTGCCAAAGACTTGGGAAATATCGCATGCCTTTTGCTTGGACTGCGATCCATTTAATGAATATTGTTAGCAGTGCTGGGAGTTTGGAAAGAGATTCTACAGAGGTAGAAATTAGTACTGGAGGTAAGAGTGTTTTATATAAAATATTTCTAAATATATAATTTTTTCTTTTTTCTTACATAGCTTGTTTTATGTGTAGACTTTGCAATGTGATGAGTCATACATAGATTTCTTTTTTTGTCTTTTGTAAAAACCTTAACAGTTTTTTTGAGATGTAATTTGCATACCATATATTTTACCTATTTAAAGTGTATAATTCAGTGTTTATTTAAAACAGCAGAGGAGGGCAGTTGTAGGGGGACTAGACCTGCAGGGAAGGGCAGCTGGGGGGGACCAGGCCTCCAGGGGAGGGCACTTGGTAGGGAGGACCAGGAAGGAGGGGAGGGCAGCTGGGAGGATCAGGCCAGCAGGGGAAGATATTTGGGGGGGAACCCAGGTCTACAGGGAAGGGCAGTTGGGGGGGGGGACCAGGCCTGCAGTGGAGGGCAGTTGGGAGGGCACCAGACTTGCAGGGGAGGGCAGTTAGAGGTGACCAGGCCAGCAGGAGAGGGTAGTTAGGGTCATTCGGGCCAGCCGAGGAGCAGTTAGGCATCGATCAGGTTGGCAGGGGAGTGGTTAGGAGGTTATCAGGCTGGTAGGCAGAAGCAGTTAGGGGTAATCAGGCAGAGGCAGGTAAGCAGTTTGTAGCCAGCAGTCCTGGATTGTGAGAGGGATGTCCAATCTCCTGTTTAGGCCTGATCCCAGTTGGATATCCCTCAATGGGTCCCAGATTGGAGAGGATGCAAGCTGGGCTGAGGGACAACCTTCACCATCACCCCCTTCACGAATTTTGTGCACTGGGCCTCTAGTGTCTAAATAAACAATGTACATAATTTAATTAAAAATGCTTTCTTGCTAAAATATCCTAACTATCATCTGAGCCTTCAATGAGTTATAAAGTATTTGCTGGTGGAGAGTCTTGACTCTGTTAATGTCTGCTGACTGATTAGAGTGGTGATGGCTGAAGGCTGGGGTATCTGTGGCAGTTTCTGAAAATACAACAGCAATGAAATTTGCTGCATTAATTGACTTTCTTTTGCCAATGATTTCTCTATAGCATGTGATGCTGTTTGATGGCATTTTACCTATAGAACTTTTTTCATAATTGGAGTCAGTTTTTTTAAGCCCTGCTGCTGTTTTTCACCTAAGTTTATATAATTTCTATATCCTTTGTTGTCATTTCAACAATCATCGTAGTATCTTCATCAGGAGTCAATTCTATCTCAATCTACTATAAGAAGCATTTCCTCATCTATTAATGTTTTATCATGAGATGCAGCAATTCAGTCATTTCTTCAGGTTCCACTGTTAAGTCTAGTTCTCTTGCTGTTTCCACCACATCTGCAGCTACTTCCTCCATTGAAATCTTCAACCACTCAAAGTCGTCATTAGTGAGGGTTGGAATCAACTTCTTCCAAACTCCTGTTAATATTGGTATTTTGACCACTTCACATGAATCAGTGTTATTCTTAATGACATCTAGAATGGTGACTCATTTCCAGAAAGTTTCAATTTACTTAACCAGATCCATCAGAGGAATCAGTATGGCAGATAAATCCTTATGAAATGTATTTTGTAAATAAAAAGACTTAAAAGTTGAAATTACTCCTTGATCCATGGGCTGCAGAATGGATGCTGTGTTAGAGGCATGAAAACATTAATGTTGTACATCTCCATTAGATCTGTTGGGTGACCAGGTGCATTGTCAATGAGTAGTAATATTTTGAAAGGAATATTTTTTTCTGAGCAATAGGTCTTAAGAGTGGGTTTAAAATATTCAGTGAATAATGCAGGCAGATGTGCTATCATCCAGGCTTTGCTGTTCCTTTTATAGAGCACAGGCAGAGTAGATTTAGCATAATTCTTAGGACCCTAGGATTTTTGGAACGGCAAGTGAGCATTGGCTTCTATGTAAAGTCAGCAGCTGCCTAGCCCCTAACAAGAGCGTCAGGTTTTGAAGCTTTGAAGCCATTCATTAACTTAACTTCTCTCTAGCTATAAAAGTCCTAGATAGCATCTGTTAACATAAGGCTGTTTGTCTCTATTAGGAATCTGTTTAGTGTAGTCACCTTCATTGGTTATCTTAGCTAGATCTTCTGGATAACTTGCTGCAGCTTTTATATCAGCACTTGCTGCTTCACCTTGCAATTTTATGTTATGAAGATGGCTTTTTTCTTTACACCTATGAACCAGCCTCTGCTAGCTTCAAACTTTACATCGGCATCTTCCTCACTTTTCTCAGCCTTAATAGAATTGAAGAGAGTTAGGATCTTGCTCTGGATTTGGCTTTGGCTAAACGGAATGTTGTGGGTAGTTTGATCTTGTATTTAGACCACTAAAACATTCTCCATATCCTATATAGTAAAAGGCTAATATGCAAATTGTCCCTTCAGGAGTTAGACAGACCTGGAGTTTGCCCACTTGCTATGATGTGTGCTCACCACTAGGGGGCAGTAAAGGATGAAGGTAGGCCCCAGCCTGCAGCTGGAAGGAAGGCCCTAGCCAGCAGTCAGAAGGCCCCAATCAGTCCTGATTGCTGGCCTACCTGTGCTCGAATTTCGTGCACCGGCCTCTAGTCAAGATTAAGGCTGTTTCAGTTTCTTAACTTTTGTGTGATCACTGGAGCAGCACTTTTTAAATTTATTTCAAGAACTTTGCATTTACAAATTGGCTAACTCTTTGGTGCAAGAGGCCTAGCTTTCAGCATATCTTGGCTTTCAACATTCCTTCTTCACTAAGCTTAGTCATTTGTAGCTTTTGATTTAAAATGAGAAACATAGTACTCTTTCTTTTACTTGAATACTTGGAGGCCATTGTAGGGTTATTATTTGGCCAGTTTCAGTATTGTTGTGATTTAGGGAATTGGGGTCTCTAGGAGAGGAGAGAGATAGGGGAACAACCCATAAGTGAAGCAATCAGAACACACATTTATTAAGTTTGCTCTCTTAACTTTGTGGTGTCCGAAAACAATTACAATAACATCAGAGATCATTGATGATAGAGTACCATAACAAATATAATAACAGTGAAAAAGTTTGAAATAGCTCTAGCCGGTTTGGCTCACTAGATAGAGTATTGGCTTGCAGAACAAAGCGTTCTGGGTTCGATTCCAGTCAAGTGCACGTATAATACCTTAGTTGTAGGCTTCTCCTCGACCTGGGCCCTGATCAGGGCACCTGCAGGAGGCAGCCAATCTATATGTTTCTCTCACATTGATATTTTTTTCTATCTTTCACTCTCTTCCTCTGTCTCTAAAAATCAATGGAAAATATCTTCAGGTGAGGATTGAAAAAAAAAAAATTTGAAATATGATAATTACTAAAATGTGAACAGGGGCAAATTGAGCAAATACTATTGGAAAATGGCACCAATAGAGTTGCTCAATGACACAAATCTTTAATATGTGAAATTAAAATGTAATATCTGTAGAGTGCAATAAAACAAGATATACCTATATATAATCTGTTTTAGAGAATGTCTTATGTGTGCTTGAGAAGAATGTGCACTTGCCTTTTGTTTAGTGGAGTATATTGTAGATGTCTAGTAGGTCTAATTTGTTTATAGTTTTAAATCTTTAACATAATTATTTTATTTTGTTTGAATAGTAGGGTTATCTTGCAAAAATTTGAATAAAAGTTTCAAATTCAAGTGCTATAAGACTGAGGGACCATATATAGTGACTAAAATTTATAGTTCCTCTATATCTGATCTTCTTAGCTCATCTTTGGTCATATGCATAATCTTTGTGTGGTAATTACCTTTTTTTTTTCTTCCCACATTGGAGAATTTTAAAGAGAATCAGAAGATTTAGATGTAATATTTCCTTATTGATCTCCCCAGAAGTGAATTTCTTCTATAATACTATAATCAATATGCTAAGTGGTTAATTTTCAACCTTAGTGGATTTCCACCCTGTGTTTGGGAAGCTGCTTTAAAACAACTTTTTTAAATATTAAAAAAAATGAATATTTTACTTTTTTTTTTTTTCCTTTGTAGAAAGAAAAGGGTCTTGGTCAGAGAGGAGGAATTCTAGTATTGTTGGCAGGCGATCACTTGAAAGGACAACAAGTGGAGATGATGCTTGTAACCTGACCAGCTTTCGACCTGCTACGCTCACAGTGACAAATTTTTTTAAGCAGGTATTGTTCTGTCATGTAGGAATTCTAGGGAATTATTTGTTCGTAAATTTCTTTTAGTTTGGCTCAGTGGATAGAGAGTCGGTCTGCGGACTGAGGGGTCCCGGGTTCAATTCCAGTCAAGGGCATGTACATTGGTTGCAGGCACATCCCTGGTAGGGGTGTGCAAGAGGCAGCTGGTCGATGTTTCTCTTTCATCAACGTTTCTAACTCTCTATCCTTCTCCCTTTCAAAATAAATAAATAAATAAATAAATAAATTTCTTTTGTTTTCAGAAAAATCTTGCACATGTAGTACTTTTACATACAATAATTGATAGTAATTTCAATAAATTAAAAAATTTAAGAATAAAATAAAATATGTAAAAATAAGTTATATGTTTTATCATTTTATTTAAATAGTGACATTGACTAATAATGCATCAGAATCAATCCTCCACATCTATATTCTATTAATTGTAATATTTTAACTTTTCTTAAGTATTCATAGTTTATGGATTTTCATAGAGTGATTATGTGGTTATATTTGTCCTACCAACCCAAGTTTTTTTTCTTACCTAACCTATCATGTCCATGGTATATGGACTAGAACTTTCAGGTCTTAGTGGTGCATCTCGGTACCAAAATGCCATTGCTATTTTTAAAGGTGAATTTGTAAGTCTAAGAAGTTCTTAAAGATATTTTATTCTTTGCAAGTATGTTTCGTACACTTCAAATCTTGAGTCAAATCAGTATTTTTCAAATGCTGGTCATGATCCATTAATAGTAATAGAAATTTAGTATATAATACCCAGCATAAAAACAAAACTTGTCAGCATAGAATTATAATACTGCTTCAATGAGCTTTATTCCCCGTCGTTTTTTTTTGTTTTTGTTTTTAAATATATTTTATTGATTTTGTACAGAGAGGAAGGGAGAGAGAGAGAGAGTTAGAAACACCGATGAGAGAGAATCATTGATCAGCTGCCTCTTGCACACCCCCTACCGGGGATATGCCCGCAACCAAGGTACATGCCCTTGACCAGAATCGAACCCGGGACCTTTCAAGTCCCCAAGCCGACGCTCTATCCATTGAGCCAAACTGGTCTCGGCTCCCCCTTGTTTTTTTTATGAGTATATGCATACTGGATTTTGAAGTAAAATTAATTTTATAATGTGAACCAAAGATCAGAAAAATTTTAAAGCCTTTTGCATAAGCAGATGACCAGAACCATATAATTATGGAAGAAAATTTGTATTAGTGTGACAAACTGTGACACGTGTTTTAGAGCAGATTAAAGGAAATGCAAAATACTCTCTCAAAATTCCTCCTTTTGAGATGTTATTCTAAGTATAGGGAGGAAGCCGAAACCGGTTTGGCTCAGTGGCTAGACCGTCGGCCTGCAGACTGAAGGGTCCCAGGTTCGATTCCAGTCAAGGACATGTACCTTGGTTTCAGGTACATCCCCACTAGGGGGTATGCAGGAGGCAGCTGATGGATGTTTCTCTCTCATTGATGTTTCTAACTCTCTCCCTCTCCCTTCCTCTCTGTAAAAAATCAATAAAATATGTTAAAAAAATAAATAAATATAGGGAGGAAATCCTGGCCTTCTGATACCTTGCAACTTGAGAGAGCTAGATTTTAGAGCAGGATGTGCCATGAGTTGACAGATAACAATGTACTGGAAGTGCCTTTCATAGTTACCCATCAATAGCATTCATAGGCAACTGCTCTGAGACACTCGGATGGAAAATAAAGCAGGTAAGAAGTGTCTGGCCGAAACCGGTTTGGCTCAATGGATAGACCGTCGGCTTGGGGACCGAAGGGACCCGGGTTCGATTCCAGTCAAGGGCATGTACCTTGGTTGCGGGCACATCCCCAGTAGGGGGTGTGCAAGAGGCAGCTGATCGATGACTCTCTCATCGATGTTTCTAGCTCTCTATCTCTTTCCCTTCCTTTCTGTACAAAAATCAATAAAATATATTTAAAAAAAAATAAAGAAGTGTCTGAAGTGGTAAGGGTCTTTTTATTGTAAACTAGAGGACCGGTGCATGAACCGGTGGAGTCCCTTGGCCTGGCATGTGGGGATCGGACCAAAACCGGCTCTCCAACATCCCCTGAGGGGACCCAGATTGGGAGAGTGTGGTTCCCGGGTGATGCACCCTGGAATCTGGCTCCCTCCTCTCTGGTTCTGGGTCACCCGAGAGCCACAGCTGCCAAGTTGCTGCAGCTCGGCAGCTCCTGTGTTGAACGTCTGCCCCCTGATGGTCAGTGCGCATCATAGCTACTGGTCGGACAGTCGGATGGTCATCTAGACTTTTATATATAGAGATTGTAGTATAAGAAAAGAGTTTAGAAAAGGCTTCAGTCTTACTTCGATAAGGTGATAGCCAAGTACAGCTATAGAAACAGCGGTAGATTTACCTGATACTATGACACACAGCCTCACAACTATGACATTTTTCTCTTTGTGCCTCTTCAGCTGCTACATCATTTCTGCTATTTTCACAGCTCTTCTTTTCTTTTCTTTTCTTTTCTTTTCTTTTCTTTTCTTTTCTTTTCTTTTCTTTTCTTTTCTTTTCTTTTCTTTTCTTTTCTTCAGCTGCTTTATCATTGAACTGGTATTGTAAACTCAAATCAACAAGTTATCCATCCACCTACCCACCTATTTATTCAAAGGTACTTTATTGAGCATTCACCATGTACTGAGCATCATTCTACCCACCTACGTATTTATCCAACAAATACTTTTTTGAATATTCACCATGTACTAGAGACTGGTAACTGGAAACTAGCACAAACTACTTGTGAAACTTAAAAATCAGTGATTGCTGGAGACATAGAGCAACAGAAAGCATTAACATTTGACTTTTTAGGGCTCTGTACTAGTATTATATATCAGGCAAATTAAGTAAAAAGTGGAGATTATAATTTTAATAAAGTATTAATAGAATTTAAGGCATAATTATCTCCTAAATGAGATATAGAAAGCAGGTGTTTTTCTAAATATATTTTTTATTGATTTTGTACAGAGAGGAAGAGAGAGGGATAGAGAGTTAGAAACATCGATGAGAGAGAGAGTCATCGATCAGCTGCCTCTTGCACACCCCCTACTGGAGATATGCCCGCAACCAAGGTACATGCCCTTGACCGGAATCGAACCCGGGACCCTTCAGTCCCAAAGCCGATGCTCTATCCACTGAGCCAAACCGATTTCTGCTTGTTTTTGTTTTTAAAAATTGATGAGCAATTACTATTCATGATTAGGATATAGTAATCAGTGCTTAGGTACAGATTTTAAATATGACAAGCTAAAGTTATTAGAAATACATGGAGATTTAAAAAAAAAATCAAATTCACACATTAGTTTTAAGGGCATTTTTTCTATTTATTAAAATGTGTGTAAGTTGTTGCTTTAGGAGTACACAACAGTAAACCTGGAGTATGGAGAAGGGGTTGTTAACTAGGTTCATTCACATGTTTAGAGGTTGACCAGGGTCAGCTGATCTAGACTGACTTTTGGGAAGACAAATAACAGACCTCCTTCATGTTTCTCAACTTGTACTCTCATCATTTAGCAGGCTAGCTTGGTCATGTTCTATAGCAGTGGCAGAAGTTCAAGAGGGAGGGCAAGCTTAGTTGTGCAAATATTTTTGAAGTTTCTGCGTCATCTTTGCTTATTGGCCAAAATGAGCTTGAGGAGGGAGTTAAAATGTCCAACCTAACAAAAGGTAGGGAAACAGATACGGAGTAAAGAATGCAGGTTAATAATATAATCAATTTCACAGGTTAAGTAGACAGAAATAATTGAATCTGAAGATAATCTTAATGTATCTATCTATTTATCTATCTATCTATGCCTAATATGCTAAGTGTTTGGTTGACCATTCGGTTGACTGCTTGACCAGTCACTATGACGTGCACTGACTACCTGGTGGCAGATGCTCTGACTGGTAGGTTAGCTTGCTACTGGAGTCTGGTGGATCGGGACTAGGCGAGATTGGCTGGATGTGCCCTGGAGCCAACTTTCCGTGGCCCCTCCCCGGCCTCGCTAAAATATTTCTTCTAATTAATTCCCCTTCAATGTGTGTGAATTTTTGAACCAGGCTTCTAACTATAAATAAGACCCATTTAAAGATGTATTTAATTTTGTATTCAAAAGAATAGAATATATTGTTTTAGCAACTGATAAAACATTCGTAATAATTACATGTTAGGTCACTGAAAAAATCTTCAGATTCAAATTTGCTAATCATAACTCAATAAAACTAAAAACTATAAAAGTATCAACAAAAACCTACAACTTCTTAGAAAGTAAAAATCACTTTTCTAGATAGTGGAATAAAAGATGAGCAATTCTGTATCCTGTTCAGAACATAGTGAGCAGGTGGAATATATATAATAGCTTAGGGTGAGCTCATAATAGTAAAGTAACCTTAAATCTATTTAAGATAAAAAGATGACATGAACTATGCTTTAAAACCACTAAGATATTAAATCCAGGAGGTTTAAATTAATAAGCTAAAAACTAAATTAAAAACCAAAATGAACCCCTACCTATTAAATTGCAAAACATGACCTTAAATTGAAAAAAAATTATTGATTAGGTACGGTTTGGTTTGGTTTGTCTCTTTTTCCAGGATGGAGATCTTTTCAGCGTTATTTTCTTTCTGGTTTAATATCAAGATAGTTATACTTTATTTCAAGAGAACTTTTTGTTATTCTTTCCTTTTGTATATTTAGTCAATGCTGTATATTTTGCATTTGAGAGGCTTGGTAATATAAAGTTGAAAAGAAATATAAACTCAAGAGTTATAAGTTTTTAAGGTTGTCATTATATATGTCTGTTTTATATCAATATTCATTTTTTTATCCTTTTCATCTATTTCTAATTTGTATTGATTTTCCATATTTTAGAATTCCCTGTAATACCTTATAAACAAATGGGCTATAAATACATATATAAAATTTAAAAACAGATAGCAATATCATAGCTCAATAAAATTTGAAAGCATAAAAAGGAAATAAGTCAGCATATTGACTTTTAATCACAATTATATTAATTTTACTTTTCACTTTGACTCAAATGAAGGAAGAAGGGCAGGATTATTAACAAGCAGTATTTTAAATCTACCATATTTATTTTATCAAATAATTTTTCCTTTGTTTTCAAAATCAGGAAGGAGACCGGTTAAGTGATGAAGATCTGTACAAATTCCTTGCTGATATGAGAAGGCCATCTTCTGTTTTACGGAGGCTGAGACCTATTACAGGTATTTAAAATTTTTAACTAGAAATAATTATAACTGTTATCATCACAAATGTATTGTATTGTTTGTAATATGTATTCCTTTTTCATTTACTTGGCCCATATGTCTGTCTATGCTCAATGCTTGTCATTACTCTTCATCTCATTCTACCCTCATGTGGTCTGACAGTTTGAAGGCAGGAACCTTTGATAATTTAAGAACTGAAATGAAAGCGATGAATAATATCATGGCTTAAAATTATTTTCTTGAGGAAAAAATGCATGAAATGATAAAATTTTATTTTATTTATTTTTAAAACTTTATTGATTATGGTATCACATAATTGTGAAATGGTAAAATTTTAGAAACTGATTCATATTATGATCAGAGCAAATCATTCCAGAGTACAACTATCTTTTAAGCCTACCAAGTTTAAATTAAACATTTAATCTTTGAAATGGTAGATTGTTCCTGTGCTAGATTTCTATTTGTTTGTTTTTTTGTTTTGTTTTGTTTTGTTTTCTGCTTCTTCCTTCCCATTCATTAATTCATTCATTCAGTATTTTACATGTATTTTTGTCTGTCTCAGGAATTTAAACCTTTGAGACTTGCTAAAGTGACATGATTTAGAGGACTGAGACAATAATAATTTTGGTTTCTTCCCAGTCTTCTTTCAAAAATATTATCTAGATTCATTCAAAAAAATTTTTAACATGAAGTTTTTACTTATTATGTTTACATTATTTTTACAATATATTTTTATATGCAGCTCAGCTGAAGATAGACATTTCTCCAGCACCTGAGAATCCTCATTATTGCCTAACCCCGGAGCTGCTTCAGGTGAAGCTTTACCCTGACAGTAGAGTTAGACCTACCAGAGAAATTTTGGAGTTTCCTGCTAGGGATGTTTATGTTCCAAACACTACTTACAGGTAATACATTTTAATTTGGGAGAATTTTGAAATAAGATACTATACTAATAGTAATATAGAACTAGAATGAAACTCTCCAAAACGCCTTTTTAGCTTTGTTACTTGTTCCATTTCTTACCACATAATTGTATTAATAGCTGTAATGTATGAAGCTTTTACTGTGTGCCAGATAAAATCTTAATTTTCTTACATACATTATCTTACTTAATTCTCATAACTTGAGGTATGTATTATCTTCATTTTAGAAGTGAATAAACAGATGGAGAGGTTAGTTTACTTGAGTGTGGTGGTCCTAGCACTTGAATCATGGGCTATTTGTTTAAAACATTTGAATTCCTAGTTCTGATTTTTTCTCAAATGTTCAGCAGAATCTAGTATTACACATGAACCAAGTTTAATTCCTACACTATGTTCTAACAATAACAGTATTTGGTAAATATATATTATTTAGAGCACATGTGTCAAACACAAGGCCCTCGGGCCAAATCCGTCCCGCCAGGCCTTGCAATGTGGCCCGCACCGCGCTGTCATCACTGCACTCCGCTGCGTTTCCATCACAATGACAGTTTATGACTGTTCAGTAAACCATTCGGCCCGCGATTTAGGCTGGATTTTAGATTTTGGCCCCTTCTCTGATTGAGTTTGACACCCCTAATTTAGAGACTACCTGATATGAGGTTATTGGGTAACACTACTATTTTGGCTGAACACTACATACTAGTAACTCCATGGGTACCATTTACATATACTTTTAATAAATGATGCTCCCCACATTTTATGTATGCTGAGACCATGACTTGATAAGTATGTTGGGATATTCAACAGAGCACCTCAGACATAAGATTCTAATGCATACTTCCCCGTCTTAGCATATTTCACCACCATTTACCCAGTTCCTGGGGCCAAAATTTTGGGGATCAAAATGACTTTCCTTCTTTTCTTACTCCTCCATTTACTCCTGGAACAAGTTTTATAGACTTTAATTTTTAAATTGTATCCCAAATCTAGTATTTCTATGTTCTCCACTCTTAAAACTCAAAGTCTAAGTCACCATGTAGGTCAGCATTGTCAAATAACAGTATAATACTAACCACGTTTGTAATTTAAAATTCTATAGTTGTTACATTAAAAAAATAAAAAGAAACAAGTGAAATTAATTTTAATGATATGTTGTTTAACCCAATATACCTAACATATCATTTTGACATGTACTAAATATAAAAATTATTGAAATATTTTACTTATTTTCTCTACTACTAAAGTCTTCAAAATCTGAGGTGTATTTTACTTTTACTGGTAAAGCACTTCTCATTTCAGATGCTAAAGAGCCACGTGAGACTAGAGGCTATTGTATTTGGATAGCTGCTAATCTTGAATTTTGTTATACCTTTCTAATTTGATTATATTTCTACTCCTGCCTCAGTCAACTCTCAACATTGCAGCCAGAGAGGTTTTTAAAAATTAAAAATCAGATCATTCATTCCTCTTTCTAGAGCTCTCTAGTTGTTTCCATTATAAGCAAAAAAAGAATGATTTTTTTTTTATAATTGTCTATAAGACTCTACATATCTGTTTCTGTCTTTCTTTAACTTCATGCCCATCTAATCTCTGCTTTGCTTATTTCATTTGAGCCTCAATGGCCTTTTTATTCATCCTGTACAAACAAAATTCAGGTCTACATAAGACATTCTATTTGTTTTCTTTGCCTGTCGTTTTCCCCCAGATTTCTATATGGCTTGGTTCCTTTCTCAAACATGTGTGTCTTAAAGGTCACTTCTTAGAGAGGCTTATTCTCATCACCCTACCTAAAATGATCCACTGCTTCCCTCCTCTAGTTCTTTACCCTTATTGTATTTATCATTATCTGACATAATATATAGTCATGGGATCACTTTTGTCTTTCTCATTAGAATGTAATTACTGTAAATGCTAGGGACTTGTTTTTGTTTATTGCTTTATCTTCAGCATCTACATGAGTGTGCTAGCACATCAAAAGCACATAATAAATATTTATTCAATGAATTAAGAAACTGAAAACTAGACACTGGTCTAAGGGTGGGATTTAAAGTGTACAGATATGAATTTATAAAAGTAGTTTTTATGTTTGAGATGGAATCCTTGATTTTATATTTTTAAAAAGGTCATTAAAACCTTATTTTATAAAGGTTATTGTGGGAGCTAGTTAAGCCTATCTTCATGACCTTGAACTGCACATTTCACACTGATTGAGTAATTTTGACCTAGTCTATTTTCCATGAGAACACTTTGGACTTTGTTTAAAAGGCCAATTATTGTGTCCCTTTTCAATTTAGAAAGCTGTTGTGTTGGATGGTCACTTGGTGATTGTTAGTGATGGGAAAAATCAAGGAAATTTGATTCTTCTTTAACAGAAGGTGAAATATGTAGCCATACATATTTGGGATAGGTTTCATAAAGGAGGCAAGTGGGAGGTACTGAATAAATACTGGTTAATGAGTACAGTTTTGGTTAATGAGTGATTTTCATGAGTCATACTATTAGGAAGGAACGATACAGGCATGAAAACATGCTGACTCTAGGATGAAAAAGAGTGGGTAAATAGATTGTACTGAAATAGGTAATCCTGAAAAAAAAGAAATGAGTATACTTGCGCTCAGTAAAAATCACACTGGTTCAGAGTAAACTTTTGGTGTAGAAATTTTGCAATACAGTAGTCTCCCTGTATTTGCAGGTTCCAAGATCTCAAAGGATGCCTAAAATCCCTGGGAATGACAAACTCTATATAGTAAAAATCCCCATTTACTGTTATGGATAGATTCTTTGACTTTAAGTGAAATGACATGTAGCAAAACCAACTTTACCATAGCCTAACAGATATAAACAAGAGTTAAGTTTCTGTAGCATCTCATCAGCATTAGAATGAAATGATGTTGAATAAAATTATGTTATTTGAGGACCTGCTATATTGTACTATGTTTTTTCCTATACATACATACCTATTATAAAGTTTAATTTATAAATTAGGTACAGTAACAGATTAACAACAACTAATAATAAAATAGAATAATTATGTCAATATACTGTATTAAAAGTTATGTAAATGTGGTATCTCTGTTTCAAAATATCTTACTGTACTGTACTTACTCTTTTGTGATGTTGTGAGATGATACAAATACCTACATGATGAGACGAAGTGAGGTGAATGATGTAGGCATTGTGATGTAGTGTTAGGCTTCCAATGACCTTCTGACAGTGCATCAGGAGGTCATCGAGCCATGATGATGTCATGTCTTCTACCAACAAATTTAATGCCTTCCATCTTTTTAAAAAATACATATTTTTTTATTTTTTTACAGAGAGGAAGGGAGAGGGGTAGAGAATTAGAAACATCAGAAACATCAGTCAGCTGCCTCCTGCACACCCCCTACTGGGGTTGTGCCCACAACCAAGGTACATGTCCTTGACTGGAATCGAACCTGTGACCCTTCAGTCCACAGGCCGATGCTCTATTCACTGAGCCAAGCTCTATCCACTGAGCCAAACCCGTTAGGGCATAATGCCTTTCATCTTATCTAAGCACTTATACACTGGGCTATCACTTTGGCATTTTGAGATGTGACAGCAAAACTTACCACAAGCTTCTTTTTTCTTCTTCACCATTTCACGGATAGAAGATTTGTTCTTACTGTAGATTTAGAAGCCTCAGAATATGATGTTTTTTCTTTCTTTAGTAAGTCTAGAATTTTTATCTTTCACTTAAAGGAAGCACTTTAAGATTTCTCGTTGGCTTATCCTAATTGCCTGCATCACTATTCTTGTCCTTTAGAGACCATTTTAATCAAAATAAGGTTTACTTGGACACAAGCCCTGTAATTTACTACAGTTGATCTGATCACCTAGGCAGCTATTAAGTGACTATTGTGTATGTAGCATCTCCAGCTTGGAGATGTTGGTCAAAGGGATATTCATCGTATCTTGGACAGGATGAAGTTGGACGATGCGAGATTTCATCATGCTGCTCAGGAGAATGCACAGTTTAAAACTTGTAAATTAAAAAGAACACCTTGTGAATTGTTTATTTCTGAAATTTTCCATCTAATATTTTTGGACCATGGTAGAGCATCGATAATTGAAAACATGGAAACAAGACTGCAGATAAAAGAGGGAATTAAAGTAATTCACTAAAATCAAGTAGATGGACTATCTTTGCTCTTGGAGTTTTTATTTCTCTCGAAATTTATATTACTATGTTTGTCAGATTTACTTTTCTGTTTTATCTTCATTTCTTAAGTGTCATTTGAAGGCACAAATAGTAATGCTGCATCCAAGGCTGCAGAGGTAGGAGCCTCCATTTACTAGTTATTTGTGGGAAAATGACATTATCTATAACTTGAAGTATAAATAGAACCTAGCAAGTAGAAAGGTCTGGAGGCATTCTAGGCAAGTGGAAAGTCATTAGGAAATTATATAGGGAATGCTTAAAAGTAGGTAATTTTTATTAGAGCTGAGGGTTTATGTTGGGCAAGAAATGCTTAAAGAGGTAATTAGGGTTCAGATTATAAAAATCCTTGAGTACCTGGAAGAGATTTGGATTTCATTCTAAGGCTTATGCTCTTTTAGTTGGGGTACATGTTCATGTGAGGGCATAGCTAGATGGGACATGCAAGTCCATAGGATAAACATCTTCCAAGAAATTCACTTCTTAGAAGATTTGGGGAGGAAATAACTATTTTTATATAAAGATAGATTGGTGGAGTAGAAAACACAATTTGCATGTAATTTTAAGATAAGATCATAAAATTTAAGATAAAGTCCTGTTACGATTCTAAAGTAAATCTTTGCTTATATTAAGCCATTTTATCCTATAACTGCAGAATCTATAAGGATATGTTTTCATTATATTTTCTTTGTTGTTATACTCTTTTAGTAGACAGTTTGAACGACACAAGTTGAAGCAGTATATAGCCATTACAAATTTGTTTTACAAAGATTGAGGGGCGAAAGACATAAAATTAGGAGCC